TTTTATGATTACATAAAATTACAATTATCGATTAAAATTAAATTAAAATAATAAATACTTAATAATTTATTTTTTAATTTTTTGTAATAAAAACAAAATTTATTTAAATAATTTTGGTTAAATGGAAAATTAGCAGAATTTTGAGTGTTAAAATGATTATTGGGATCCATTTCACTAAAAAAAGACACTTAACTTCAAAATAAACACTAATAATAAAATTAAGATAGTGAAAAACTTAGTTTTTTTTTCTGTGTCCAAATCAAATGAACCAAGTCTCTATTTATAGAGAAAAAAAAATCATGAATTTTGGTAAAAAAAAAAAAAAAAAAATTAATTTGCAACGAAATAATTGAGTTCAAAGTATTAAATGGATAAAAATCTGGTCAGCCAATCAAGCACAGCCACGTGGCTGCACTTATCCCTTTCAATTGTGTTGAGTTTTCTCAACACCTCTCTCTTCCAACACACACTCAACACCTCTCTCAACACCCATTGGAGGAGATTTTGTATGTTGAGTTCAAACTCAACATACCCATTGCACATGGTCTTATATAAGCTACTATATTTATCCCTCTCTAATAACTAATAACTCATAACTCAATACCTATGAGAACCTAATAACAACTTAGACTAAATACTTTAGAGACTAATTAATTTTACACTATCACCCAATTAGAATTAAATTCTTTTAATAACTATTTCTTTCATATTTTTCTGTTTTTATATGTCAAAATAATTAATTTTAATTGGATAACAATATAAAATAGTTTTAAATTGACAGTGTATTTTAATTAATCTTAATATTTTATTACATAATGTGTGCATCACAATTTTTTTTGTTGACAAAGTAATTCATGATTTTCACCGAATTATTTTTTATATTGACCTTAATTTTGTTTTTTTTTCTAGTGTTCATTATGTCAAGCGTTTGTTTAAAATTGTATTATCGATGATTCAACTCGATCAGATTGTATTTTATCCAACCATCAGTACCTATGAAATATTCTCGATACTCGATCTTTGTCACCCTCCTGTTGTCAGAATCAACGAGCAAACCATTCAACGTTTGTCGACAAAATCTCGACCGTTCAAAAAAATAAAATTAAGTACCTACCGGAAAAATTAAGTATCACACAAAACTAACGTATCAAATTAATATGGGATAAATAAAACAAAATAACAAGCTTGTCTAAGTGGGAGAAAAAAAATTTAAATTTAAAAAAAAAAAAAAAATAATCGAATTTCCACGTGGAATTTAATTTATTTTTTTTTAAAAACCACGTCAAGTGCCACATATGCAGATTCGACTGGAATCTTGATCCAAGGTTAAATTTGAGGGGATTTTATTTTGTTGAGGGGTTAAAAGAAAATTTATTTTTAAAAGGGATAAATAAAAACTCGCTACTATTGTAGGGGGTAGAATGCATTTAACCCATAAATTAATTCAACAATTAATTTTTGAAAAGGAGTACGAAGCACATTTTAATTAACTGCGCATTTGGTCCAAAATTTCCGCTATTCACGCATCCGAACTATGTATAAGAGGAATTAAAATATATGTGTAATCTGTAAAAAATACAAACTCATACGAACTACGAATTGAGATTCCGATTTCTCATAAGAGGATACGTAGACATACGACTAAAATCGTGACGAGTTCCCTTAATAAAAAATTAAAACCTTATTTCCTAAATATCACGCTTCTAATCCCAGTATCCTTATGAACAAAATAGATGAGGGGTGTCTAACATCTTCCTTTCGTCTAAAATCGAGTCCAAAAATATAGAATCACTAACTTTCTAGGATTATTCTTTATATTTCATTCTTTAGGATAAAAATTAAGGATGACGACTCTCGTTTTAAAACCAGTTACAACACCTGCAGTTCAAAGTATTAAATGGATAAAAATCTGGTCAGCCAATCAAGCACAGCCACGTGGCTGCACTTATCCCTTTCAATTGTGTTGAGTTTTCTCAACACCTCTCTCTTCCAACACACACTCAACACCTCTCTCAACACCCATTGGAGGAGATTTTGTATGTTGAGTTCAAACTCAACATACCCATTGCACATGGTCTTATATAAGCTACTATATTTATCCCTCTCTAATAACTAATAACTCATAACTCAATACCTATGAGAACCTAATAACAACTTAGACTAAATACTTTAGAGACTAATTAATTTTACACTATCACCCAATTAGAATTAAATTCTTTTAATAACTATTTCTTTCATATTTTTCTGTTTTTATATGTCAAAATAATTAATTTTAATTGGATAACAATATAAAATAGTTTTAAATTGACAGTGTATTTTAATTAATCTTAATATTTTATTACATAATGTGTGCATCACAATTTTTTTTGTTGACAAAGTAATTCATGATTTTCACCGAATTATTTTTTATATTGACCTTAATTTTGTTTTTTTTTCTAGTGTTCATTATGTCAAGCGTTTGTTTAAAATTGTATTATCGATGATTCAACTCGATCAGATTGTATTTTATCCAACCATCAGTACCTATGAAATATTCTCGATACTCGATCTTTGTCACCCTCCTGTTGTCAGAATCAACGAGCAAACCATTCAACGTTTGTCGACAAAATCTCGACCGTTCAAAAAAATAAAATTAAGTACCTACCGGAAAAATTAAGTATCACACAAAACTAACGTATCAAATTAATATGGGATAAATAAAACAAAATAACAAGCTTGTCTAAGTGGGAGAAAAAAAATTTAAATTTAAAAAAAAAAAAAAAATAATCGAATTTCCACGTGGAATTTAATTTATTTTTTTTTAAAAACCACGTCAAGTGCCACATATGCAGATTCGACTGGAATCTTGATCCAAGGTTAAATTTGAGGGGATTTTATTTTGTTGAGGGGTTAAAAGAAAATTTATTTTTAAAAGGGATAAATAAAAACTCGCTACTATTGTAGGGGGTAGAATGCATTTAACCCATAAATTAATTCAACAATTAATTTTTGAAAAGGAGTACGAAGCACATTTTAATTAACTGCGCATTTGGTCCAAAATTTCCGCTATTCACGCATCCGAACTATGTATAAGAGGAATTAAAATATATGTGTAATCTGTAAAAAATACAAACTCATACGAACTACGAATTGAGATTCCGATTTCTCATAAGAGGATACGTAGACATACGACTAAAATCGTGACGAGTTCCCTTAATAAAAAATTAAAACCTTATTTCCTAAATATCACGCTTCTAATCCCAGTATCCTTATGAACAAAATAGATGAGGGGTGTCTAACATCTTCCTTTCGTCTAAAATCGAGTCCAAAAATATAGAATCACTAACTTTCTAGGATTATTCTTTATATTTCATTCTTTAGGATAAAAATTAAGGATGACGACTCTCGTTTTAAAACCAGTTACAACACCTGCATAGCTCAACAAATTAGTATTCCAATGTCTTATTCTACTGACAATCTTATCGACAAGAGGTATATAGTGATGAATAGACAATTTTTTGCAAGTCCGTGGTACACTAAAATATCTTAATGGAAAAGGCCCCTTACTAAAACTAATAATATCAAGAATTTTTCTTTTACTATCGTTATCAATTAAATAATATAAATAAAAAAAATTTAATAGTAAATAAATAAAATAATATCTCAAAAATATTTTAAAGAAATCTTGAAATTAGAATATATAAAATTAAAATTGCAATTAAAAATTTTAATAATATTATTATGGATTGGAATAAAAAATATATAAGTTCATGATGACCACCATAGTGAATCTTTGGGTGCGGTCGCGACGATTCTCTATCCCTTGTAAAAAAATTGCACTTGAATACGCAAGTGAGTGTTTGAATTAAGTGAAAGTTTGTAAGTGTGGACATGTAGAATACATGAGTATGACTCTGAACCACATTTTATATAGGAGAAATGGTTATAATTATTCCCAGATAGTCTGTGTGGAGTGTGAAAGACAATTGGATGAAGATCAACTACTAGGATGGATAAGAAACTATGCTCCTATATGGGGAACATGACTGAAGGTTCATCTTTACGACAGTAATTTGACGCTCTCTTGTTGGGGGAGATCTTCGTGTAAACTCACGCATATAGAGTGGGGAGGCGACGCACATACGCCCACTAGACTGCAGTTACAAATTTGAGACTTCATAGAGACATTGGATGTGATCTTTAATTTTCCAGTGAATCATGATCATCAAACTCGATGCCATTCGCACCTATAAAGCAAAAGCTCAGGGCTTGGTGGCACTTTTCTAAATCTTCTCCAAGTATTGAGCATATTATTATAGAGAAATGCATTTTAGTGTTACTTATTTGTTGTTAAAACTTGTTGAATTTGGATTTGTCTCATTTGAGCTTTTCTGCATTTTCACTTCTGACGCAAGTATTTGTTTCTTCGTTCATCTCTGAAGTTTTCAATCTTGTTTAAGTATGGTAGACATAGGGGGTCCATATTTAGATATTTTCATTGTAGACCTTAGTGACATAAAAGTTGGCGATGTTATTCTACTACTAAATCAGATGTGGTTAATCCTAGAGATATGGGATAAATATGAAACAAGTTGGGATTGGGTTTACCTTTTGGGAAATACATATGGCTAATTTCATTTTTTAACAAACCTCATGGATAAGCCTAAGGGGCAAGTGTTGCCATGAATTTAGGATGCATGTTCAAGCGTGATGTTATTGAGGATGAAGTGAGATAGATAGTGGTTGGAAGAGCGATCCTGCTGTTTGACTTATGGCAGCCTTTTTTTTTTATCTTAGACAATAAATTTGCATGGGGGAAGATCAAATAATATTACACAGACTACATTGAGGAGGAGAATCCATTGTAGGCTATAGGTCTCCAATCTATTTCTTCCGACGGCTAATGGAGTGTTACTGTTATATTGCAGTCAAGGAGTTGAACTACTGGTGATGAATGCTCATCAGTAAAGTAAAACACAAACACTCCACCTCCACCAATAGCACGGCCCAAAAGCATATTATCATCCAACCGATTCCCTACAATTCATAAGGGCATTATGTGTGTAATTTGCCAATAAAGAAGACGCTTTAACCATTTCAACAAAGAGGTGCATCATATTAGATATATACCTTCCTGGATCCCTCACGGGAATTTGAGCTTTGAAAGTATGGAGATATTGCAAGATCTGCAGGAGAAAAGTAGGCTCTATGAGTTATGCCGTATGTTTGCACTGGTCTTCATTCACATAAAATTATACGACCAAAGTATTTTATTTGATGCAGAAACTTTTTGGTGGCATAAGCTACTGGTGTCAATGGTATGTCATATATAGTGCCGGCATTCAAATTATAAAAATGCAAGATGCAAAATTAAGGTTGAGATTTACCTGCAAACTTATAAAAGATGTGGCAGTATTGCTGGAGATATTAGAGCCTGGAGCAAACTTATAAAAGATCGTGGCAGTATTGCTGGAGATATTAGAGCCTGGAGCAAACTTATAAAAGATCTTTGAAACTTACCAAATTAATGCATTTACATGCACATGCTCAGCAAAAAGACATGAAGAAGAAGAAGAAGAAGAAGAAGAAGCAGGGTTATCTAAAATCTGAACCTGAATTTTACTTACATGATGATTGTTGGGAGCGAATTTTCACAATCCTCATCGCAGAGGACGACCACAGACTTTACTTTAAGTCTCTGTCTCTCATCTCTAAACACTTTCTATCCATCACCAACCGTCTCTTATTCTCTCTCACTATTTCTGATCCATTTACCATTCAGCCAAATAATGCAAATTATGTTACTTCAGAATTTTACTAATTCCTTAGTCACTTTGAAGGGTTTGACTAGTCATCATTTAAAGAGAAACTATGCTGGGGAGATGATTTGGACAATCTTAATAAAAATGCAGAGCGACATGTTCATACAATCTGTCAGTAATGTCTAACTCCAAAGAATGTTATAACCATTGATGCTTGTAGAAGTTTTAGGTGCCATTGCAGAGTTGACGGTGTCTAGTTTGTTAGAGTATACTTGCTAGTTGAATTCCAATATATATATATATACTGTTGAATTGATAGTAAATACACAATATTTAGTATTTTGTAATCATATGCTACTACCACCAATGACCTGCAGAAGATTCATATGCAAAGCAAAACACCAAATCCATTTATTCTCTCAAACCAATGCAGAAAAAATCGGTCTTTTAGCTCGGCTTTAAGATCGCCTGGATGTGATCCCGGATTTCACCTAATCGGTCTTGACCTAGACGGTAGGCTGTATGACTGGGTTGACTGTACCTGTCCATAGTCTATCAAGGGCCAAGTCTGTTAGTAGGCCGGCCAAACCACTCAAGTTAGATTTAAAAGTAACTTTTTAAGAGTGTGTCTTGCAAAATTAATTAAAATGCAAGCAGATGATAATATCAATTAATTAGCTTGCTTACCACTTAAATTATCAAGCTACCACCAACCTATTTTATTTCATTTTTCAGATTACCCGTCAAATGTTAGTAAATTAGTAGTAGTTAGTTTCTAGAGGTTCAACTCTGAGCCTTCTATTCGAACTTCTTATTATACATCAAAGCTCCTGTTAGTTATCTTTTTGTCATATTACTGAGCTTGTTTTAGATGTGCTTGCAGCTTCCGAAATTCCTCATCACAGTAACTCCGCTTCCACCCTTGTCTCACCTTGCAACCATGAATTATGGCTGGTGGGTTCCTCCGGTAAATAACTTTTAATGGAGTTTGTCCAGTAACAGCGTGATGTATTTGACGCTCACCTTAGGTGAAAAGTGTGTATTTGACATTACTGGAAATGGTTTTGCAATCTTGGGACATTCTGCATAAGGCAGAATATTACTGGTGATTGTTTAGCATAACCAAAGCATTCTTAGTACTGTTCCATGCCCTTTTACGCTTTAGTTTCATAGTTTTTCATGATCTTGGTATTTCACATAGAAATTAGAATTGAGTACGAGACAAGACGAACAATGAAAACGGGCAATAGCAATGTTTTGATTATAAATCAGATAAAATACATATTCAAAACACCAAAATAAAACTTTAAAGTGACATAATCAGTAACAAAACCCTAAACTTTCATACCAATTTCAATTAAAGTTAAAATCGATTATAGTTTACCTTCAAAATAATGTTTCATGCGAGTTCCGACGGAGAAAAAAGAACGCTGTATACGAGGACGAATTTTAGTTGCGTCTCCGTAGCAAAAGATGGAAAGAGGACCACGGCAGCTCTCCTTCTCAAGTTTTGAATGGACCATGTCTTTTATGCCACTTATTTCACAAGGATCAAATTCATTGACAAAATCCCCGTTTTCCAAATTCCACCACACAGATACTTTCGCAGCACCGCCAAGAGGACCATGTCTGTGTTTCTTGTGTTCCGCATCTTCTTCAACTCCATCCATCTTCTTCCAGGTTTTTGTATTGTTAGGCTTTTGGATATAAAGTACGCAAAGGAAGTACCGTGAGAACGGTGAATCAAATTAAAGTCTTGGGTTATAATATATGCCGTTTATGGTGCGCGAAAGTTTTAGAGATAAATAAGACAAATGAGTAGTTAGATTTAGATAATCAATTGACAATCTATTGTGTGCTTGATCTTATTAAAGATCAAAAGAAGAGAATGGGTTGAACTCCAAAATAGTTGTCGTCCGAAGTGATCATGGAGGTGAATTTGAACACCATCTCTTTGAAGAATTTTGTGATAATTTCGGTATTTAGCATAACTTTTCAGACCCTCGAACTCCACAACAAAATGGTGTTGTGGAGTGTAAAAACCATGCCTTAAAGAAGTTGGCAAGAACAATGCTCAATGATTATGGTCTACCTAGATATTTTTTTGGGTCGATGCTATTAGTACAACTTATTATGTTTTGAATAGGATACTTATTCGTCTTATTCTTGACAAAACACCATATGAACTTTTAAAAGGTAGAAAATCGAATTTGTCACATCTTCATGTTTTCGGATGCAAATGTTTTGTTTGAATAATGGAAAGGATAATCTTGGAAAATTTGACGTGAAATTCGATGAAGGTATCTTTCTTGGATACTCACAAACTAGTAAAACATATAGGGTGTACAATAAAAGATTACTTATTGTTGAAGAGTTGTTTCATGTTACTTTTGATGAGTCTTGCCCAAGTAGTGTTGAGAAAGGTATTTCTTTTCATGGTGAAGGTGTATCTTCGGAAGGCATAAACAAAGATATCGATCAAGGTGTTGATCAACCAAAAGCGGTGGATATTGAGAAGGAGGAAGATGACAACTAAAAAAAGAAAGACGATGAAAGTCATCAAGAAGATGATGGTCTTCCATTAGAGTGGAGAACCTCCAATAATAATCCAATTGACAACATTATTGGTGACATCACGAAGGGAATAACGACTCACTCTAAGATAAGTAATTTTTGTTATCACCACGCATACGTTTCACAAGTTGAACCTAAGAACGCTAAAGACACCTTACTTGATGAGCATTGGCTTATGGCCATGCAAGAAGAATTGAACCAATTTGAAAGAAATGACGTTTGAACCTTGTCCCTCGTCCACAAAATCATCAAGCCATAGGCACACGATGGGTGTTTAGGAATAAACTTGACAAACACAGTGTGATAACTAGAAACAAGGCCTGACTAGTAGTTCAAGGATATAACCAAGAGGATGAAATTGATTACGAGGATACTTATGCTCTTGTTGCTTGATTAGAGGTTATACGCCTTTTACTAGCATATGTATGTTCCAAGAACTTCATATTATATCAAATAGACGTAAAAAGTGTATTCCTTAATAGATACATAAATGAAGAAGTGTATATTTCTCAACCTCCCAGTTTTGAAAATCATGAGTATCCTAACCATGTCTTCAAGCTAAAATGCACTTTGTATGGTCTTAAACAAGTCCAAATGACATGGTATGACCGTCTTAGCAAATTCTTGCTTGATCAAGGATATTTGAGAGGGAAGTTGGATACTATGCGCTTTATTAAATGTCAAAGAAAGCTGATTTTACTTGTTCAAATTTATGTTGATGACATCTTTGATACGGTGGCAGAACCGACTGTTATACTGGTTTTGCGTTTGTGTTTACAAATGTTGCGGTAAGCAAGAGTCACCACCGACTTTTCTTTTATCCAACAAAAGGAAAGGGTGAAAAGAACAGAAAAAGACCTTTCGAGAGTTTTCTGAGTAAGGGGGGGTAGATTATGGAAAGGGAATGTGTTAGCACCCTTTCCATCTGTAGTTATCTACGAGCTCTTAGATGCTTAGCTCATTTTAAAAAATACCTTGTGCTTTTGTGTGTTTTTGAAAAGTATTTTTTGAAATGCTAAATAGTAAGGCAGTTTGCTTTATGATAACTCTTGTATCAGTCCTCAAGAGTGTTGATAAAGCGTTTTGAAAATGTTTTTAAAATTTGTTTTGCGTAAGTGTAAAAATTTGTTTCGAGCAATCATCTAACATTTATCTACTTGTACTCGAAAGGTCGTTCTTTTCCTCTTTCCTTTTAGACAGTGCTATCCTACTATTAGTGAGTAGGCAACCCTATCGTTGGATGTTTGAGGGACATCCGAAGGGACGTTTTATAGTCACAAAGGCAACTTGGCAAGAAACCTTAGTAACTATCCTAGAGTTTTAAGATCACTTTTATTGAGGCAACGTCGACAGAGTCATCGAGGGACTTGTGATCTTTAAACCGGAGGATAATCACTAAAATCTCTCACGTTTCGAGAGTTATGACTATTTTTCGAAGGCAACCGAAGTGGGAGTACCCTAGAGGTGCGCATGTGCAAGTGCGTTGTGTTTGAGTTATTTATCTTGATGTTTAATTCACTAACTTTTTGTTGTATCATCTTGTCATGCAATCCTACTTACCATATATCTAAGTAGTTAATATATGTACAAGAATTAAAAATGCGGAAATATAAATCCTATGCTATTACATGGCTTCGGAAGGGGGAGGGGTTAATTACATATCCAAAACATGGGAAAAATAAAGAAAAGCGGTAAAGGAGTCCTAGTTAATTTTATTACATCTCAGGGGCAGATACAATAATCATAAAAATGTGAAATTTAAAATAAGCGCGCGAATTGAAATTACGCCTAAAAAACCTAAGGTGAAAGGAAATTTTTTTGTTTTTTTTTAACCTATGGAAAGAAATTTAATTTAAAAATCCTAAGTCTATTTATTTTTAAATTAAGAAAAGGGTTAAAATAATTAATCAATTAATTTACAAAATTTTAATTGAGAAAATACTATACGAATATTTTGTGATTTTTATCTAATTTTTATGATGCTATAGATAAAAAACAATTAAAAGCAAAATAAAAATGGGTCAGGATAGTAAAGGGTGACAGGAGGTGTGGTTTGAAATTGGTCAGACCCAATTAAGCTGGCCCAGAGTGCGTTAGGATCTGGTGAAGACGCATTTGAAGAGTCCATGGTGGGGACTACATGTTAGAGGCGCTGGATCCATGTTGTATGGATCTGATGGTGCTGATGGTAGAGCGCATGGTGTGCATGTTTGGACTTGAAACGCCAGATCTGCAAACAAATTTTAGAGAAAAACGAAAAGTGCCTAATCTGGGATTCAAACCCAGGTCTTTCCTCCAACGCCCCCTTCCTTTACCGTTTGAGCTAGCTGTTCAATCGAAAGGAATGACACCAATATTGAATCCTGTGAATTCTGTTAATTTCAAAAACCAAACGAAAACCTATCCCAATCGAAATCATCCCCTGAACCCAAATCTGGGGCTGTTTCGATTTGTAATGGTCTGTACCATGAGTTTCGAAAGTGACTATTTCGAAAAACCCCTAGCAATGGTATCCTAGTGTGATACGGTGGAAGAACTGACTTAAAGGTTTTTGCGTCTGTGTTTGCAAATGTTGCGGTTTAGCAAGAGTTGCCACCGAATTTTCTTTTATCCAATAAGGAAAGGTGAAAAAGCACAGGAAAGACCTTTAGAGATGTTTTTGAGTTCGGGGGGTAGGTTATGAAAAGGGAAGGTATTAACACCCTTTTCATCCATGGTTTTCCATGGGCTCTTAGTTACTCTCTAGATCACTTGCTTTTGTTTGAGTGTGCTTGTGGTGTGTGTTTTTGAAAGTATTTTGAAAATGTAACTTTGTAAGGATTCTCGTTTCTATAAGAACGCATACAAAGTGTTTGTTTCGAAAATAATTTAAAGATGTGTTTGTGAAATGTGTTTTTGAAAGTGATTTTTGAAAGGGTTTCCTTTGTAATGGCTCTCGTCTCTATAAGAATGCGTACAAAGTGTTGTCTTTTGAAAATGTTTCAAATGGAAGTGTTGGTGCATAAAATGTTTTTGTTGTGAGCAAGCGAGTAACTGAGAGCGAACCTACCTACTCAAAAGGTCTTAGATGTATTTTTCCTCCTCTTTTAGATGTTGTTATCTTATCATTGTTTTGGTAAGAAGCCCCATCGTTGGATGTAAAGGGACGGGCGTTGGGTCATCGTATAACCGTGATAGCAATGTTGTGAGATGACTTAGCACTTTTCTTTTAGGGACTAAGATCATTTTGAAAGGCAAATTCGATAGCGTCATTGAGGGACTATGATCTTGTATTTCGATTGTTTGTGCTAAGACCTCCCACATGCATAACATGGCAATTTATAAGGCAATAAGTGGAATTACCCTAGGGGTGCATGTGTACAAGTGTGTTTGATTGCATGCATTTGTCTTTGATTTTTTGATGGTCTACTTGTTGGTTTTATCTCTTGCCATACACGCTTAATTACTAGCATTTATATTTAAAAGCGATAAATTACAGAAATGTAAAGTCCTACACTATTACTATATTTAAGGGATGGGGGTACATATTTACAAATGGGGATTGCAAATGACAATAAATCCTAAATTACTATTACAACCATATTGAAATACATAAGGATGTACAAGAAAAAATGAACTTGTTTTGTTTTAAGGAAAATATTTTTGGTCTTTTGTTTTAAGAAATTAAATAAAGCGTGGAATAAATGTTTTTGATGTTTGCTGGTTAATGGAATAGAAAATGGTAGTAAAATAATGAGAAAAAGGGAGAAAAACGAATCAGCGTGTTGCTGATTATAATGAAGTCAGAGGTTCTGACCCTGACACATTATAAAACAAAAACCTGTTAGTGAAAATGTATAAGGTCGGAAGCTTTGAAACCACTGGGAACACAGTAATTTTTAGAAGTTCTGATACCACTGGTAAAAAAACAAGCTTCAGAAGTTCTGGTACCACCGACAACAAAACAGACTTCAGAAGTTCTGAGACCACTGGCAGAACTCGGTTTCTCTCTCTATGCTAGTCAGAACATCTGCAATTTGATTATTTCTCCACAAAACAGAAGACATGCATAGAACAGTTACAGCAGGTGTCATAGTGTTTCAGAAATAAGAAATAT